GTTGGAAACTGTCTCAGATGTTTTAATCCTCGCATAATTGAACCTGTGTGCCTTGAACAAGAGGTAATAATCTCTGGGTGAAATTCCCAGGGTGGCGTTGTTGAGCAACTTACTAAAATTAAACTTTCACAAAACCTGAGTTTCCATCTAGTGTCGCCACACACACATATATATATATATATATATATATACACATACAGGAAAACCTTTGCTCAGTACAAGATAACTGAAAACTGCATTTTCATAAATAAAAAAAAAAGTTCAGGCTTTAGGATGTTTTTCCAATTTCAGTCCTGATTGCGAAAAAGTGATTTTGACATCCGCAGACTGCTGCCTGTGGATTGAAAGCGGTACTTGCAAACTTCTCTTGGAGAGAGGTGCAAACCTTTTATCTATTTTAGAAGTAGGGGTTTAACAATACATCAATCCAAATTGATTTATTGATTAAATGCTTAATGATTCGATTATATCAAGGCAAAATGAAAATATTGATCTATATCGTCATCAGCTCGATGTGGTTTGAAATAATTTTCCCATCTAACACAGTCATTATAATTGAATCTAATTGAATTTAATTGAATCGAAAAAGTGCATCATCAACACCAAGCTGAAGACAGAGATGTTCCAACCAGCAGCTCAGCTGACCAGATGAAAGCAGCAACTGGTGGAGAGGACTGTGGAGGAGCAGAAACTACCAGGAACCCAGATCTGAGTACTGATGAAGATGATTCCAGCTCATCAGAGACTGAAGGCTGTGAGGATGATGAGGATGTTAATGACTCTGACTCTCAACTGAAAAACTTATCAGAYTCTGGATCTGAACCTGAAGACAGTGACAAAGACTGGAAGGAGGGTGGGGCTCCAGAGTCAGGTGAAAACACTGTCAACAAAGGTTGCAGCTTCTCTGAGTGTGGGAAACAATTTGTCCACAAGAGTTCTCTTCAGAGACATGTGACATGTCATTGAAGAATGTCTAAAAAAGATTTAGTTAGTAAGGAATGTGTTCAAATGAAGGAAACTGCAGGCTCAAGCAAGAAAATCCAGTCAAGACAGAAATCATTTAGTTGTAATGACTGTGGAAAACAGTTTAACAGAAAATGTGATCTAAATACACACATGATGATCCACACAGGACAGAAACTATTTGCTTGTGATCTTTGTGGACAAAAGTTTGGTCAAAAGTCAACTTTGAACACACACATGATGATCCACACAGCAGAGAAACCATTAGCTTGTGATCTTAGTGGACAAAAGTTTGGACAAAAGTCAACCTTGAACACACACATGATGATCCACACAGCAGAGAAACCATTTGCTTGTGATCTTAATGGACAAAAGTTTGGACAAAAGTCAACTTTGAACACACACATGATGATCCAAACAGCAGAGAAACCATTAGCTTGTGATGTTTGTGGACAAAGATTTGGACTAAAATCAAGTTTAAACAAACACATGATAATCCACACAGGACAGAAACCATTTGCTTGTGATGTTTGTGGACAAAAGTTTGGACAAAAGTCAAATTTAAACTCACACATGATAATCCACACAGGAGAGAAAGCATTTGCTTGTGATGTTTGTGGACAAAAGTTTGGACACAAGTCAAGTTTAAACTCACACATGAGAATCCACACAGGAGAGAAACCATTTGCTTGTGATGTTTGTGGACAAAAGTTTGGACACAAGTCAAGTTTAAACTCACACATGAGAATCCACACAGGAGAGAAA